GTTGATAATATTTACAGTATTTGCTACTACAATTAAACCAAATAAATAATGGACAAAATAAACACTTTATTCATGCATAGCTTTATTATTATTATTATTATTATTATTATTATCATCATTATATACAATAAATCCTACAAAATAAAATAAATATTTATTTTTTTACAAGTTGTTTTATCAAGTGTTATTAGAGACTAGAGGCATTGCCAGCTTTTTGGGCCCTATTCACAATTATTATTATTATTATTATTATTATTATTATTATTATTATTATTATTATTATTTTGTGGACCCCTTAGTCATTAGTGGCTGGCAGGGCTGCTGCAGGGTCCCTAAAGTTCCAAGGTTCCCCTTTTCCCCCCTCTAGCTTCGCCCCTGACAGTGACACTTGTTTTGTCAAAATTGATGTGCACATTTTAGGGAAGAACTTTGTCATGATCCTAGACGTGAGTTAAAGTAACTCTTGCTTTTCAGTAGAGGGAGCATGCAAATCCTTAATATCACACAGCAGCGCAGCCGTCATTCATTTATTTTACTCCAATAAAAAAAATAACTTAATAGCACTATTGAGTAGCAGTTTTACAGTTTACCTGAATTTTTTTAGATTATGTTATGTACTGTATGTTATTTTAACCCTTGTCTATTGTTCAAATTCACTACCCTTTCAATATGTTTGTGGCTGTGTTTGCCCCATTTACTTCCAATATAACCACATGTTTACTGTTGATCATCAGTTGGCAACATTATTCCTTTAGATAGGCTTGTGTCAGAAAGTTTCTGCCTTTTATATTGAGTTCCATGGTGTAAAACAATAAATTATAGCGTGTTCTGAGAGCTGATGTTCTTATTTCTTTAATTTTATGAAACATATCAAGGTAAGTGAACAAATGTCTTTCTTTCACACTCTAACTAAGCTTTTTTTGCCACTGTAATACAGTAAAAATCACAAATGTTACCTCTACCCAACAGGAAGAACCACCAACAATCAAGAATACATGATTGTGTCATGGCTTTGCAATCAAAAAATGTGGTTATAATGGAAGTCAATAGGGCAAAAAATAGAGTTCAGATATTCGGATATTCAGACTTTCTGCTTAATAATATAATTTCAGAAAAATATTGTTTGCAAATTATAAACAGGGAAATCATATTAGCAGCAAATGACTATCATCATACAGCATTGTTCACAATCAATTAGATAGTGCTAATGTTGTTTAGGAGTCATACATGCATGCTAATTCTGATCGAATATTCAAAGTAACATGGAAAACAATATAGAGACTGCTAAATGAACGAATGTGCTAATTTAAAACCATCTTTACCTCTATGGGCAAAACAACCCCCAACATAATGAAAGGTTAGTGAATTTGTCCAGAGTTTATTTTGAAAAATTTCAAAGCATTTTCCCAAAATGTGTCAAAATAAAACTTGTCGCCAAAAACTATTCCATTTGCTGAAACACAGAAAAAGATGTGGCCAAATTAAGCCTCAAAATCACCCCAGAGTGTATGAAACATCCCCAATAGTACACAAGGGTTAAAATGATAGGGTTACAATCGCAGTACCTTCAGCAACAGGTGCCTCTGGAGCGGGTGTAGTTTCCTCCACGGCCGCTGGAGCTGCAGCTTCTACCGGCGGATCTTCAGCAGGAGGCGCCTCCACCGGAGCGGTCTCGGGCACGGGCGCCGGCGCTGCGGGCTTTTCCTCTTTCTCAGCAGCCTTCTTGGCTGACTTTTTGATGGGTGCTGGTTTGGCTGGCATGATGCTTGGGGAAAACTCAACAGGGTTGCTGCGCTTTGAAACATCAGTTGAATTTATAGCGCCCGTGAGAGTGTGGGGGACTCCTCCTCTGCTTTAAATAGCCCTCAGATTGATGAATCTGCTCTTATCAACACTGGAATAATTCACTCAGTACTCATTACTCAGACTACAACTCAGTGTCATGTATTTTAGTGCGTAGACTAGAGTTCAAATGATTTCTGACTCTAACGCTATTTAACCTTTGTTAAACCCCTTTCCTTTTAATATAACTTCTGTTTTTATGTCTACTTTGGTCATTTGGCGCCCTCTCTCGTCATAAATTATAAACGCAACGTGATGTCCCTGCAGAAAAATCCAGCTAAAACTAGCCTAGGCTGGTTGGCTGGTTTTAGTTGGTTGACCAGCCTGGTTTTAGAGGGGTGTTGGCCATTTCCAGGCTGGTTTTCAGCCATTTACAGCCTGGTCTTAGCTGGTCAGGCAGGAAACTGACCAGCTAAATCCAGCTAAAACCAGCTTGACCAGCCTGGTTTAAGCTGGACATAGCTGGTTTTGGCTGGGCTCCCAGCCTGGCTAGGCTGGTCAAGCTGGTTTTAGCTGGTCATCTCCCAGCCTGACCAGCTAAGACCAGGCTGGAAATGGCTGGAAGCAAGCCTGGAAATGGCCAAAACCCCCTCTAAAACCAGCTTGGTCGACCAGCTAAAACCAGCCTAGGCTGGTTTAAGCTGTTTTTTTCAGTAGGTGTAGTTACACAATTACGATGGAAGACGGAGACAAAGTTATTCGAGTAGCTGTTGTGTTTTATTTTAGTTCCAACCCAATGAAACACCTCATCCAGCTAATCACGCTCTTTCTAGGTGTGCTAGAAACTTCCAGGGAAGTGTGTTGATGGAAGTTGGAGCTAAACAGAACACTGGCCCTCTAGGACGGAGTTTGGACATCCCTGGTCTATGGCAGGGGTGCTCAACCCTGTTCCTGGAGATCTACCTTACTGCAGATTTCAGTTGCCACTCAATTCAAACACGCCTGCCTGCAATTATCAAGTGCTGTTCAGATCCTGTTTGGGTCATTGAATCAGTCCTATATCAACATAATGTGAAATAATGAAATTCTGATGTTTTAATTTAATTGGTTAAACCTTTACATACATGCAGGTAGAATTATAAGTGCTTTGAAAGATGTTTTTGTCCATTTTTGATATTTTCTTTTATTAAATGGATGTGATTTTGCCATCCCACACACTGCTCAGCCAAATTCAGTCAGTCTAGAAAGTAGGTAAATTAGATACAATTAAATTTTTTTTAAATATTTTTATTGTCTTTATCAAGTTATTTGACAAAAGTTTTTTTTTATAACCTTTATTTTGTTTTCATAATATTATTATTCATTATCATTTTGCATGTGTCCTTGAAATTGCTGTCCACCCTGTCACGATGTGGTAAATACCCCTTTAAGAAACCCTCTATGTACTCACTGGCATCCCCATGCGCATTTTGCCTTTCTTCAGAGGAGGTTAAATCATTTGATGTGCACACATTAATCTACACTTATGTTTCCTATTTTTCCTCAGTTGTGTTTGAAAGTGAATGTTGTCAAGCTTAAGATGTTCTCCCTGTCATTGTGAAATATTAATTAATATAACAAAATTTAATTAAAAATATCGCTTGTAAACTGTATAGAAAGACCTTAAATAGGGAAACACTTTGCCAGTTGCAAGTTGTAAGTGTTGAATAAATGCTGTCTTTTCCCAAAAATGTCCTCCCTGTCATTGTCCACCCTGTCACAAATCCTTTGTTGACTGTTTGAAATAAAAATACAGCCCAACGTATTTCTACATTTATGTGAACATTTGTTCTTTAATTATTTACTTTGTTCTGAAAAAAAAAAAAAACAGTATTAAGGTGTTTAACTTGAGTTGCTTTCAACATTCCCTCCACTCCTCCAATACACATGTGCAATGTAAATATTTATATTAATTTGCAAATTTAGTTTAATTTGAAGGAAAAATAATTGTTTATTTTCCTATTATTTGCATATTAATAAAATCTAATGGGCGAGGCAGTGGCGCAGTAGGTAGTGCTGTCGCCTCACAGCAATAAGGTCGCTGGTTCGAACCTCAGCTCAGTTGGTGTTTCTGTGTGGAGTTTGCATGTTCTCCCTGCGTTCGGGTGGGTTTCCTCCGGGTGTTCCGGTTTCCCCCACAGTCCAAAGACATGCGGGACAGGTGAATTGTCCGTAGTGTTTGAATGTGTGTGTGGATGTTTCCCAGAGATGGGTTGCGGCTGGAAGGGCATCCGCTGCATGAAAAAACTTCATTCCGCTGTGGTGACCCCGGATTAATAAAAGGACTAAGCCGACAAGAAAATGAATGAATGAATGAATAAATAAAACCTAATTGAAAACAGAAGAGGCGACAAGGTGGCTCGGTGGTTTGCAGTAGTTGGTGAAAACAGAAGTTGAATCTTGAAGACTTTTACAGCCCTTTTTTTATATTAACCCTTTAATATTTCTCGTTGTACCTGTTGTTTTTCAAATGGTCCTCCATGTCTAGTTCACTAAATAAAGCCTTTGTCCACCCTGTCATCTTGTTTTCCACTGTCATGTTCACTTTTTATGAAAATAAATTATATATAACCTCAAAAAACATCTTGTGTGATTCCTTGATTAACCAATGAGGGCTAGTCCCTTTATTAATCCGGGGGCGCCACCGCAGAATGAACCGCCAACTTATCCAGCACGTTTTTACACAGCAGATGCCCTTCCAGCCGCAACCCATCTCTGGGAAACATCCACACACACTCATCCACACACACACTCATACACTACGGACAATTTAGCCTACCCAATTCACCTGTAACGCATGTCTTTGGACTGTGGGGGAAACCGGAGCACCTGGAGGAAATCCACGCGAACGCAGGGAGAACGTGCAAATTCACACAGAAACACCAACTGAGCCGAAGTTCGAACCAGCGACCCAGCAACCTTCTTGCTGTGTGGCGACAGCACTACCTACTGCGCCACTGCGTCGCCTAAGGGCTAGTTAATATTGAAGTTTGACAAACTACTTAAGATCTTGGGTTTTAACCTGAAAAGAATGTGCAATGATTGCATATTTTATGGGGAAATGTTTTGTACATTATTTCATTAATATAAATACAAAACAAAACAAAACAAAAATGTATCTGGATTAGTGTAGACAAAAACACGAGACCATAATAAACTTGAGAGCAGAAAACAAGAAGTGTTCGTGTAGGGATGGCACGAGTTTATTGAAAACGTTGAGTGAATACTTGATGGATGAAATTCTCTCAGCTCAGCACATGCCTTTATAACCCCTTTCCAGCAGACAATTTGTAAAATATTATAATAACAATAATCATAAAAACAACAATAACCAAAGGTGTCTCATCTTAGGGCCGATTCTTTCAATATTTTACTGTGATTGTGGTCGCAGATGAGGTTACTATTTACAATGTTTACAATTGCAATGTCCTATACAAAATAGAAAGATTTATTAAAGAGAAAGCAACATCCAAAAGGAAAAAAAAAAGAAGACAAAGTTTTTGTTTGAAATCCCAGCGGGACGTATAAGGTCCGATGTGTTTTTCCAGACAAACAATGGCGACCAAACACCAAACCTGCACATTAGCTTATCACATATGCCATTGTCATCTGTCATTGGTGCTGACGACTTAACTAAAACATTATTCCAACGCTGCATAGTGACAAAATCATCAGTTCTTATTAAACCTTGTGAAACAATAAAAAAAAAACATGAGTCTAAAAAGCACACGTTTTAAATTATTATTAATGTGCCTTTATGAACATTCAGCGTTGTTAATCATAAACCAGTAAAAATAATCAATAAATTAATCAAGACTCCATTTAAGGTTATCCAATGTACACCAGTTCTTACGCAAAAACAGCAGATATGATAAAGCACACGGTAACGTGATGTAAATATATCTTTAACATGAAAAGAGACGGTGGGCAATGGCTTTAGTATGTGCTAGCTGGCAAAACAGCCTCAGTTTCCAGCACATTTGGAACGAGTCTGCAGACGAGCTCAAATCTCAAAGTAATTTATAGGCTAGCATGAATAAACGCATAGCTCTTTCACTAGCATTCTTATTCTCCACAGCAAGCAATCCCTTGCAAAACTATTAGGTATTGCAATGTAGGCTTATATTAGGCACATTTTCAAGACGAATACTGGGAAATCTTACCCCCAAAGCCCCAAACTATCCATGCGCTATATTAAAGGAACACTTCATTGGCTTTTATGCAGCGTCCCTAGAGTTAAACTGTGGAATTTTAACATTTTATGAATTCGTTCAGCTGATCTTCTGATCATGCGGTAGCACTTTTAGCTTAGCTTAGCATAAATCATTGATTTGGATTAGATCAGGGCTGCGTCCGAAATCGCATACTTCCAAACTATATAGTATGCTAAAATCAGTATGCGAGCCGAATAGTATGTCGAATTCATAGAATTCGAAAATCAGTATGTGAGAAGTACCCAGATTACTTCCGGCGAGATTCTGAAGTGTGCATCCTATGCACGCTGCGCTATACCAAGATGCCCCGCGAGATAATTCCTGAATGGGAGTGAAGTGACTCAACTGATGCAGGTAGGGCTTGTGGCAAAGACAAAATGGCGGATGTAGTACGTCCGAATTCCATTCATAATTTTCACGTTTATACTGTATAGAACGTACTTTTCTAACGGCTGAATAGTATGTTTATAAGTGGATGTTTATTTTTTAATTCAAATGCAGTACCTACTGAGTAGTAGGTGGTTTTGGACGCAACCCTCACGTGTCCAGACTTGGTTTGAGGAGGGCATGCAGATTTTAGCTCCAACTTGCTTTAACACACCTGGAAGGATGTTTCTAGAATGCCTAGTAAGACCTTGATTAGCTAGCCCAGGTGTGTCTGATTGGGGTTGGGACTAAACTTTGGAGGACACCGGCCCTCCAGGACTGAGTCTGGACATCATGTGAAAATTTAAAAATAAGAGTTTCAATAATTTCCCTATATTTAAAGCCTGACTATTCTGTAGTTATAATTGTGTAGGAAGACAGACAGAAAATTAACAGTTGCTATTTCCAAAGCTGATTTAGCTAGGAACTATTCTCTCATTGTGGTGTAATAATCAAGGAACTTTGCTGCTGCACCGTGACTGCAACATGCACAATGATGATGCGCCTGGAAATAGTCCCCAGCTAGATAACATCAATAGATAAAATCATTACGCCTGCTGCAGTTAATTCCCCCAAAAAAGTGAAGTGTTCCTTTAAGGGAAGTTTATGATCATACAAAGAGCTGTTAAGACAGATTTTGAGGTACTTGTGTGATTTGAAACTCTGCCGCTACTTCCGTTTTACCATTTTGTAATGGGTTGTTGGAGCCTGATCTCACGAGAAAACGTAAGTATTTTACGTTTTGCCAGTTTAGTGGCTAATTCGTACGAATTCAGTTGTACGAAATTGTACGATTTAAAAAAAAGAGGGGTGGCATTTAACCCCACCCCTAAACCCAACCGTCATTGGGGGATGAGCAAATCGTACTAAATTGTACAAATTAGATCAAATGAATTCATACGAAATAGCCACTAAATCAAAAAGCTACGAAGTGCCGTGAGATTGTGTTGGTTGTTGCGGCCAACTTATTCCTAAAAGCTATTTAGTACCTTGTACGATCCGGAAGAATATACGGACACTTTTATAGAGAAAAAATGTACATAGGCAACATGATCTAGTTAGTTTGTGGCAGTTAATTTGCCCCTACAGGAAAGGCCATAACTGAGAGCTGACTGCAATACCTGCTGTTATGTAAATCTAACCAGACACATTCAGTTTATAGTTGTTATATGTTGTCATCGTTGTGTTTATTCTACCATAGACCTTTTTGTATGTATTTTTGGCTATTTTTGTGAAACTCCTATTTACAAATGCCAGACCAAGATCTTTTAGTAAAAAAGTACTAAAAAAAGACCTTTTAAAAAAAACACGCCTCTGGTTATTCATTTGGAGAGCTTTGTCTGAGAGTAACAGGACACGTAAACACGAGCACAAGCATCATTGTAAGCACTGGGAGTGTTGGCAAACTGATATTTTGATTTAATTTACATTCTGCATTTGAAACGGCATGGTAACGCTGCTACTAACACCAGTTAGCATGAGAAGATCAATTAGGTAGAATATCACTTTGCTCTTGTAGATTGGTTGCCAACACATCCTTTAGGCGTCTCACGATAAGGTGCCTTTTTAAACTGTTTTTTTTTTCTTTCTCAAAGTTAAAGCTTTCATGCATGTTCTGGAGCACCTGTTATCAGCCAACAGCAAATGCATTCATGAGTTACAATCCACCATTGTAATTTTTTTTACTGCCTGTTACAGGAATGATTCAAGAGATGTGGGGTTATTCTCTGACTAGATAAAAACCAATTCCGTTGTCACTTTGTTAGATCAGACTAACGTAAACATATGTACATAAGCGTGTGTACAACTGTAAGATTTGCTTTGAACTTCCAGACATAACAAAGGCCAAACATAAATTATCAAACCTCCTCTAGACAAAACAAACTGCTTACGCTATTTCGACTTTGTTCACACTGTAAACAATCCTGATTTGTTTTCAAACCCAATCCACGAGCATCTTATTTGGCATGAGCTTAAATTTTTCAGGCAGTGGAGTCAATATCCAGTATATCTGTGGCCCTGTTTCATTTGGTATTACGATTTATATTCACCAGCTTTCGGCACCAAATCAGGTGTAAACGGTGTCTAAAATGTTTTGTGATCAGATCACTGAAACCACATTCGGAGGTAGTCAATAATGAATGTTGCCACGTCATATTTGTAATGTAAATGCGTACTGGTCTGAAATGCATGGCATACTCAATTATTATGATAATTCTAAGACATTTTGTGGGAAAATGCACTAAAATAAGTGATAAAATACTCAGTCAGCCAAAAGGTTGTTGAGAGTGTACACTTTGCAGCCATTTTAAGTCATTTTAGTTAATAATTTAAAAATAAATATATAAAACAAGAAGTAAAAAAAATCTACTTCAGAAGACATGCGCTAACCCCCTGATGCCGTATGGGTTAGTTTTATGATGCACTTCAAAAAAAGAGTCACTAAGCAACAACATTATACATCACAAAGTGAAGTTTCACAAACTAATTTCTAGAGGAGCACGTGATATGATTGAGCATGACTGGTGTCCCATCTGTAATCAGTAATAACCCAATCAGAATGTTCCAAGCTTACTATAAGTGGATCGTTTTCTTCCTAATGCTCTAACTTAGTTTTGGAAGAATCCCCCTTCCACCCCATCTCCTCCTTTTCCTCCCTTTTCTAAGAGGGAGCTCTCGAGATCTACCTGATCTCAGATCCCTTATATGCTTATTGACTGGGCGGAAGCCTCGGGCTCAGGTTCTCTTTTTTTAAGCTCAGGGTTCTCTCCCGGGACAGCATGCCATACCTGGTATAAACGCCAAGCATATCCAAGTGGGAACTACTCTGACTGTGTTCATCTGATATACACAGATAATGGCTTGAGGGTGAGTAAATTATTGGGTGATTTTATTTTTGGGTGAACCATTCCTTTTAATTTGTTTTTAAGTTTTAAACTTGGGCTTGTTTATTCATCAGAACTTCTGTGGCTGCACTGCATGCTCACAAACTGGCATAGAATCTGATAATGACAACAGATTATGATCTAAATCGCTGCTGCCATTGAAATCCTTTAAGCTCTCTTACTTTCACAGTTGCAGTTAAGTGCCAATATGTTGATGAACAGCATTCGACACACAAAATAATGTGACAAAATATATTGAATTCAACAATGCAAAGCCAGACACATTTAAAATGTATGTAAATACCAAGTGGAAACAGGGCCTGCAGGAGTTGCTACATTAATGACATCAGTGAATTGGGTTTGGAGTGTCAGCGAGAACAAAGCCTTTGATTTTGATCCATGAGCACCTTGGATGTTGAAAGTAAACCTGAAAATATACTGTCATTGTCAACGTTCCAATCCAAGTCACAGCACATTTTATTTGTGGCGTAAGTGCAAACAAGCAAGTCATTTGGATGCTTAAAGGTTCAAGAAACCCTTGAAAACTTTTTTTGAGATTTTAACAGATTTGTGTGTGTTGAGCATAAGCTAAGACGATGTTAGCACCTGTCAGCTTTAATTGTGGGGTAAACTGGATAATTTTGAGCTTTTGTCAGCCAATTTCAGCTTCCGGGTTTAAGATGATTTTTGAGCCGGGATCAAAATCGGTGACGTATCGCAAAACTGCAAGTGCAAAGATGACTCGTCGATTTTTCATTATTATTCATAGTGGAGTTTTCGTTTCCTGTGAGAAGAGCCAGCTTCTTAATTATAAGGCAAGACAGACTTGCCAGTGCCAAGCTGTGAGACCCTAAGTCAGAGATGGGCAAACTTGATCCTCGAGGGTCGGTGTCCCTGCAGAGTTTTGTTCCAACACTAGTCAAACACACCTGAACAACCTAATCAGTGCCTTCAAGATCACTAGAAAGCTACAGACAGGTGTGTTTAATTAGGGTTGGAGCAAAACTATGCAGGGCACCGGCCCTCCAGGATCAAGTTTGCCCATCCCTGCCCTAGGTTGATGACTGTGTGGGATTGCATCCAAGGACCCACGGCACATAGTATTTAGCCATTCATAAAGGGTCGTATATAATTGTTTTCATGATCCACAGGGTTTGTTGCATGTTTTCCCCGCGATCCCATCAAGGCTGATACAGCAAAGCTGTTTGTGTGCAGCAAGCAATTTTGTCAGGAGAGTTGTAAGAGAATTGGTGAATGCATGGACTTTGTTCTTTATAAGTGGAGTTTGTTCACATTTAGTCACATCGTTGTGCTGCTGTGTTCATCTAAATCCTTCAGAATTTCAGCAGCTAATGGTTAAAATAGACAGGGCAAGAGACCTGGAGCACCAAGTCTGCATTCAGACCCGGACATTGAGGGAAAAGTCCTCATTGTTTATATGAACACGATTATCTTTATAATGATATAAATTGTGGTTCTCTGTATATGAAATTACAAATGACAAATGTAGCAGGGCATTAAATTACTGTTTATTTCTTTGCATTTTAACTTTGTAAACTATAAAATCACGCATCTCCTTGCGGTTTGTGTCTCATTTTGTGAGCTAACTGACAGCAGTTATTCGCTCCCCTCTTTCTCCCCTGCTCTGCTGGCCACGCCCACTCCTGCCTCTAATGGCGGAGCTCCACGTCCATTATGATGCTTTTTTTTCAAATTCTGAGGTAGACTTGAACCAAAAGTGGGGGGTTTCATGAATAAACTCATCTTCACTTCACATATAGTTTGAATGGCTTGCATGTTTAGCTGTGCATGAGACATGGTGGACTGTAGAAAATGAAGTATTCGTAGGCCTTAGAGTCAATGCACTGGATGCAAATAATTACCGAAGGTATGACGTTACAAACTACTCTCAGGCACTGGTAACAGCACATCTGTTATTACTGACAGCGATTAAATCGCCTGAGATGAACCATATCAACTGTTTATCATGCTCAGCTTTGCTGTATCACCAAATGTCGCTAAAAAGCAACTTTCATTTTACAATGAATGACCGATAATATCAGACGGCAGATCACACGAGGTTCACTGTCTGCTCTCCCACTGGTAGACGCTACATTGCGTCAAAATTGCATATAGTTGAACTTTACTCAACTTGTCCATCGCTGACAATCTCTATTGCTCTCCAATTGTCAATGAAAATGAACAACTTGGTTGGTTGCTTTGTCTATAAAAAAGGTCCTTGAATTATGAACAGACAGTGCTTTTTTTTTCTTGAAAGCTATAAATCAAAGTGCATCCTTTCAAGGGATCTACAGTCTATGCCCGTCTACTTCATATCAGCATGTTTGAATAATGCATCCTGGTTATGGGTATGTACTGCACCTTGAAACTGCATCACTATGCAAACTGTGAGGTAATACAGAGTTATATTCGGATTGCTATGGAACTGACTTTTATGATATATGGAGGGACATCATTTAAGGCTGAATTCTAAGCACCGTCTTGTACACGTGAGTTGGTCTAAATGGCGTGATATTGTAACCGCACCTTTGTGCACAGGCTTCAGGTGTCTTGATCTTGAGGATGGAGTTTCAGTACTCTTGCAAATAAATTGATTTTTGGTCCATATGGGCAGATATTACCCAAAACAGAAGTAATATTGAACAAATGTGGAGCACATTTTGTTACTGGTATAGAAGATAAGAAAACCTCATCTTCACAATCATCCAATCTTCACAATCTTCTGTTGCAAGTATTGCCATGCAACTTGCAGGTTAGATAAGCAAAGGAAGGACTGGTTAAGACAACAGTGCAAAACAGATTCCTGCCAAATCTGGCAAGATCAGTTCTTTCGTTTTTCTTTCAGATTGAGAGTTTTGTCTGCCCCGACCTGGATGTTCTTGAGAGTTCCTCTTCTTGACTCTCGCAAACCTTTTGAAGGAGACAGGAGGTGCAAATCCGCTGTACAGAACAGTATTTTGTAACAGCTCTAGCCATAATCAAGCTTTGTACGTTCTTCAGCTCAAGCCTAGAAAGTGGGGTTGCCTGAAATGTCCCGTTCTGGAGATTCGATGTAGTTTGCAGACTCCTGGAGTTTCAGCAGCATCGCCATCTGATTGAAGGACAGAACGATAACAGCACATCAGTATACTTCCCATTTGCTCAAACAGGCTCAGGTTTAGGTGTACTAGACACTCACCAGTGGATCGGACTCCATGGTAGGCAGGGCAGTGTCCCTGTGGGACCTTTCATCATTGGACTGCTGTGCTGGAGCAGTGTTGGGGCAAGTGGTTGGTGGAGGAAGGTGGAAAAGTTTGGCCTGGTCCTGTTGAGCTGAAGGCCATGGTAGAGTATCTCTCACCCACTCCACTGGATCCTCCCATGCTGCTTTTTGACCATGGACCTGAAACATATGAATGCAGAAATTGAGTTTCAAGACTCCACTGCACTTTGACATTGCACAAACAGTGTGCATGATCCAACAAAGAACCATGTTTGGTAACACTTTATAACAACTACACACTATAAATCATTTAGTAAACATTAGCAAATAGTGAACTCATTATCTGTTAAGCATTAACTCCACATTAATAAGTGTTAGTAAGCAGTTTATAACTGCAGCTATAACTGCAACTCCATTCTTGACTTATAAGCACCTATATAATGTGTTTAATAATTGTATTTTCATACTTAGTTAATGATTTATTTTTCATTACTAAATTAAGTATAAAATTATTTACAAACTGTTTGTATTTAAGAGTAGTTAAGGATTTTTAGGATCATTCAGAATGAGTTATTAAATGATTAATAAACTATTGAAATCAACATTTATATGTCTTATTATTCAGGCATATGGTAATGGTTACTATATATTTTAATAAATGCTTTAATAACTCAACTTCATGCAGTTTTGTGACCTAATCTAAAGTGAGGACTATTCATGCTTTATAAAAGCAAGGCAACAGAGGCACTAATATTTCTAGTCACAGAGAAAAGTAGCAGACACTGAAATGCATGTGGTCATGTTGACCACTATGGTAATTAAAGGTAGAAATAATGTACTAACAGCTCTTTTGTGTTTTGTAATTTTAATATATTAACAATGTTTCTGAAAGAAATATACACATATTTAGGAAAAGTCAGGGTATTATAGATATGTGGGTTATTAAATTACTAAAGTTAAAAACTGTCAAAATGACCACCTCAGTTCCTCTAGTCATAAGTAATTAATTACGAAGTGAAGTCTTGTTCATGTGAAATGATCATGTTAATCAATCAGCAACAATGACTAGTAAATATACAGAAGAATTCGATAAGCCTCCGGCATCATTCAAATTGCATCCATGGGAGCATTTTGGCTTTCCTGTAAAATATGATGATGGCATAAGAAAGACAATACTGTTACAGTTTGTAGCCCAGCGGCCGATCAAGATCTTTTTGTAGGCTATAGTCTCCTAATTATTATCGTGTGATTATTCTGCTGTTGTGTCATTCAACGAGGAAGATGGTGTGACGTGAAATTTACCAACATATGTTTCTTTTTTTAGCTTTTTAAATGTGTTTTCTGTCACTTCTATTTGTTTAGCCTAAAATTAAATCAAAATTTTCTGTCAAAACACTACCTGGTATCACCAACATCACACGTTATGAGCTTACTAATCAACCAAATCTGAGGCCGTACTCACACTAGGTACAGTTGCCTCGAACCGGGCCAAAGCACGCTTGTCCCCCCTCCCGTCTCCCCCGACGGCCAGCGGTCACACCACAAACGGGTTTCGGCACGCTTACGTCATCGCTGCTGGGCTGTTCAGTGAGAAGCGCTCTCTCACTCAGCAGCACAGTAGAGATTTCTCTAGTTATATCGTTTCAGTCGTTTGATATGCCGTCAAATATTTCGCCAAACAGTCCTTAGGGATGCGGGGACACGCAGTCAGAAATTTCGCCGAACAGATCCGCCACTTTTGGCGCTCAAAAACAATCATAAAGCCCTCGTGCTGCAGGAATGAGGAGGTCTGCTGAAGGCGCACAGCTGTCGTGAAGTGGGGAGTTTGCGTCTTTAATAAACTACGTCAGTTTGCGTTCACTGAACAGTAAGAATGATTAATAAATCCATATGAAGCAGTCCCTTAAAAGTCACGTCTCACTTTCAATTTCGGGCTTTGGCACATTTTGCACTCACACACAAGCGTACCGCGCCAAAGCCCAAGTGAACCGCACTCAGGCACACCTCTTCCAACCGGGCCAGGGCCGGCCAAGTGAACCGTGCTTGAGCCCGATTCAGCGCACTCACACTTCTCAAACGATCCGGGAAACGGGCCTGGGCACGGTACGGATGGCATAGTGTGAGTAGGCCCTGAATCAACTCATCCGATTCATTCGCAGATGATCAAAGACCTGAAACGAATGGATCAAATAAGAGAAACATGTGTCAACAATAGCTCACCTTCACACCATCCTTCGCTCCCTCCTGAAGATAAGGAATAATAGACTGGTTCCAGAGGTCAATAAACCAGGTGCGAAACTCTGCTAATGATACTGGACATGACAGGAAGAAGCAGGGACCTGTTAAGGTAAAGGCCATAGTTAAGACATTTTTGAATGCATAGTTATGAGTGGTGTGTAGGACTCTAAAGAGCAATGCATACTTTGAGAGTTAGTGTGTGGTGTTGAATTATTTGCTAATACTATTTTCTCGCTCCTTTTATTCTGAAAGCCAGGAGATTTAAAGTTGTACCTATGAGGAAGTCTGAGGTGCTGTGTTTCTCCAGGAAGGTGTGGAGATGGTACCAGAGTTTAGGCACCCAGTCCAGAACCCTTAGCACCTCAGAATTGTGAGCTTTGCTGTTGTTCTCCGTCTCGATCAACTTCCTGTGCAAGTAACGCACCAGGAACCCATTGGCAGGCTCCACGTTGTTGGAGAAGGTGATCATTCTTCAGACAAACAGAAAAAAAAAAATTTTTATCTTATCATAAACATTATAAACTGAATGAAAAAAAGGAACAAGAGACTTACCTAAAGCTGAGGTGCAGACCATGATTTGATGACATCTTAAAAGACTGATTTGTGGTTCCGATGACATAAGGACTGAAACAAATAAAAGATAAATTAATACCCATGGGAAAAAAGTACTCAAATTGTTTTAAGACAAACAAAAAAACAAAACAAAAAAACACACATTTGCAAACATATATCAATAACAACTGCGCCACATTGTATGATAGAGCCCTAAATGTAACATTTCTAGATCTATCATTTTTGAAGAATTATTCAATAGCATATTTTTGATGGCTGGTTGTCGCCACCTATTGGTTAAATAGTGTAATTGCTGCCTACAACATTCATTTTGAGCTTCAAGTTAAATGTCAGTGATTTTAATCTTTACTATAAACCTCAGTGGTTCCATCTAAACAATAAACTGTTATCCCAGTACGTCTGTGGTATTTGACTGTTTGTAACTTCATAACTAACTCAAAAGACTAATAACTAAATCTCTTTCTTAATTTTTGCATTTTCCAAGCACAGATTTGAATGCAGCAATTCGAAGGATTAATAAACATATGCAAATCACCATCATTTATAATTTATGTTGCGTGGGTGTTGAGATCCCGATCTTTAAATGATTAATCGTGCAGCCAACACTGAACGCATTGATGCAGGCTAAACAGGTAGTGACAGAACACACCTTTAATAGCATTAGAAACCCACCACATCCTGAGTAACCTACCACAACTTCTTCTGTTATTGTTATATTTTACAGGAAAGCCTGTTTTCATACATGTGATTTGAATGACAATCATTACAAATTTAGGATTAATCTACAAGTCACAAATACGTATTAATCTGCGGGTCACGTATGTTCCGAAAGTGGGTTGTGATCCGTACGAATCATGGAACAACCGTGATCCATTACTCCCCTAATTAAAAATGTATTTGTATTGTGTCACATCATTATGTGATTTATAAGATTGTTTTGAAAAAAATGTGCTTAATAGTGTGCTTTAAAATTAAATAAGGATTTCCTGATAACGCAATACTTGTTCCCGACTCACCATTTGTGGTATTTGCAGGTCAGTGCACTGTTAACAATGTCAGTGATCGAAGTTGCATCACTGATATCATCCAATATAATAACCAATGGTATGTCATCGGTGCCACAGTCTCGGTCAATCTGATTGGCCAGATTAGACAGGTACAACTGGAGGTCCTGAGGAACAGAAGGCAAGCATAAGGCATGACTGCTGTAGCTCAAAGTGCTGCTCATCCTCATCTAAAAGTGTGTCTCCAAGCCTCACCTTGCAGGTCTGCTGGTGCATGTTAAATGTGTTGATGAGGCCGGAGCTAGGGTCACGTCCGCTCCTCTCCAGCAGGTATTCGGCCAGACGGGTGGTTAGATAAGTCTTCCCTGTGCCGCTGGGGCCAGACAGGACCAGGCGCCGGTGCTTCAGAAGCAGACTGATGTAGTGCTGCATCATGGGCTTGGGGATGAGCGTCTCGAACACCAGACTGTCCACACACTTCTCCTTTAAACCTGCAATGGAGAGAGAGATGAGGTCAGAGGGCTGCTGTCTTAAAAGAACAGTTCAGCCAAAAAAGGATTGCTTTAAATTCGTTTAAAACATATAAGAGTTTCTTTCTTATTTTGAACACAAAAGAAAATATTTGAAAGAATGCTGGGAGCTGGCACTCATTGATTACTTTGGAATTCGATGGGTCACAGCAACCAGCATTCTTCAACATACAGAGTGGGCTATTTATATGGACACACCTTAATAAAAAGGGAATGGTTGGTGATATTGATGTCCTGTTTGTGCCACAGTAGTATATGTGAGGGGCAAACTTTTCAAGATGGGTGGTGATCATGGTGGCCATTTTGAAGTCGGCCATCTTGGATCCAACTTTTGTTTTTTCAATAGGAAGATGGTCATTTGACACATCACACTCCAGGATGGCCGACTACAAAATGGCCACCATGGTCACCACCATCTTGAATAGTTTGCCCTCTCACATATACTAATGTGGCACAAACAGGACATCAATATCACCAACCATTCCCATTTTATTAAGGTGTATCCATATAAATGGCTCACTCTGTATATAACTTTGTGTTAAAAGAAAGAAACTCAGATAGGTTTGAAACCATATGAGGAAGAATAAATGATGTATTTTTAATAATAAACAATGTTGGCTAAAAATACTAAATGAACGATTATCTATCATTAAGAGCACATTAGAAATAAATCATCATTGACAACACTAATACAGGAAGTCAGAGATTCTAACATTATATGGAAGAAATAAACATCAGATCTATTCTGGTGCCTGGAATTTTGTCAATTCGCACAGCACTAAAGCAAATTGAAACCTCATGTTTGAAGGGCTAGAATGAGAAGAGGTATAAAAAAAGTTGCTGAAGAATGTGACTGATTGAATGTGTGTTTTATCACCTTTGAGGGTAACCGTGACGAGTCCAGGGGCTGCTTGTAAACAGTCACAGGGTGAATTTTCTGGGTCTTCAGTTCCAAGCACCCTCCTGCTCTGATTAATACTGTAGCTGTGGATAGAGTCGACAGACAGACCCATACTCGCACCCGGATCCAACTGGGAGATATAGTCCTGGTGTATAAGAGACAAAGAGAACATGTTAGACATCAATATCCAAACATATTAATTAAATAAAATCTAAATTTATCCCTAATAATGCACAACAATCCATTTTGAAGCAGAGGAAATGCATGAAAAAAGACCTGAAGATTGGCAAATATCATATATATATATATATATATATGTGTGATAGTATTTTAATGTAAAACTTACTTACTGTAAAACTACTTAAACTGCAAAATATATTAATATATTTAGCCTTTTCCCCAAATCTGACATGGTTTTAGAGACAGAATGTTGTTGATAAGCAGAAACATGTACATGTATTGATGTAGCATAGCATGATGACTTTTTCTATCAGAAAGTAAAGTTTAGCATTAAGAACAATATGGTGCCTTTTGTCAAGTGACAGTTTGCACAGGTCATTAAAAAAAGAATAATATTTGATGTTTTGATGTGTTTTGTTTTGTACTTGTTTTAATATTCAAATAAATAAATAAATGATTAAATGAATTATATTAATAATAATTAATTATAAAAATAATAATTATATACTTTGTTCACATTCAGAGAAGTGATTGTTAAATTGTTAATTTTATAAAAGTTAGTTTTAGTTTAATAACATGTAAATTATTTAGATCTAAATTGATTCCGAATGTGAACATAAAAAGTCAATATGTTATATAATAATGTAAAAATTGTAAACTATTATTTAAAAAATATTAAATATAAATGTTTAAAATGAATGAATAAATAAATGAACAAACGAATGAATAATCACCCTTGCTTTCACAAACAAGTAAACATCTACAGTTAAAGTCAGAATTATTCGGCCCCCTGTGTATTTTTTTCCCCAATTTCTGTTTAACGGAGAGAAGATTTTTTTTTCAACACATTTCTAAACATGATAGTTTTAATAACTCATTTCTATTAACTGATTTATTTTATCTTTGTCATGATGACAGTAAATAATATTTGAATAGATATTTTTCAGGACACTTCTATACAGCTTAAAGTGACATTTAAAGGCTTAACTAGGTTAATTAGGTTAACTAGGCAGGTTAGGGTAATTAGGCAAGTTATTTTATAACGATGGTTTGTTCTGTAGATTATCGAGAAAAAAATATAGCTTAAAGGGGTTAATAATTTTGACCTTAAAATGGTTTTTAAAAATTTAAAACTGCTTTTATTCTAGCCGAAATGAAACAAACAAGACTTGCTCTTGAAGAAAAAACATTATCAGAAATACTAAGAAAAGTTTCTTGCTCCGTTAAACATTGTTTGGAAAATCTAAAAAAAAAAAAAAAAATTAAAGGGGGGCTAATAATTTTGACTTTAACTGTATATCCATCTTGAAAGAATGAGAGCTCACCCTGAAGATTGTGGCGATATCTGAGTCTAGCGTAGACCACTCCGTTTTCCCATGAATCTTCACAGAGCCGATGTAGAAATCCTGCTGCCTCGCCTGCCGATTGCACATCACATAATAAGAATCATCTAACATTCAAGCATATAAAGGTGACATTGATCATGTTAGCTGGATATTCACCTCTCTAGACACTTGATGATCAGCTATACGCACCACCACACGGGTAAACACCTCATCCCTCTGACACGATGCACTCAGTAACTCCACAGGAGCTACATCTGTGGGACACAACCAATGATTTAACTATTGAGATATTGAGGCATTAGCTATGTTTCCATCAAAAGATGCAAATTAAACTACAAAACTGGACCATGGCAAAAAACATTTGGAAATAAAGCATCGTTTCCATCCAATGAGTCAAAGAGAATAAAATGATCACTTCCTGATAAACTGGAGCAAAAACTATTTGCTTTGATAAGAGAATCCACTGTGAGCATTTTTATTATATTACAACTTACTTTCACCTCAGAAGATGAATGGAAATGAACTTGCAGTGGTTTTAAGAGGAGTGAGATGCTCTTTGGGGGCGCAGCCTATCAAGACAGTTCTGGAGGTAATTATATAGAATCATTATGATGATGGACTTTGGCTAAGAGGTTTTAGAATTATCAATATATGGGGGGGGGTCTACTCATCCACCAACAGTGTGCAGCATCCACCTGGTTGACGTGACGGCAACCATTTTGTATTGGTGGAGTGGAGACAAAATGATGAAGCCAATTATAATATGGGGAAGGTTTGGAGGCCTTGATGGATAGAGGCTCTACTATTTTCAAAGGACATCCTGCGGTTTTTAATAACCACAGAGAGTCAGGACCTTGGTTTAACATCTCATCCAAAACATTGCACTTACCGAGACTATAATGTCCCCTTCACTATACTGGGGCACTAGGACCCACACAGACCATAGGGTGATCGCCTCCTGCTGGCCTCACTTACACCTTTTCTGGCTGTCACCTAGATTTCCCATGTTGTCTCCCATCTTAGCTTTGCTTAGTCATGCTTAGCTTCAGTGGGCAGCCTTGTGAGAGCTGCACAGGGTTGTTTGCACAAGGTCTTTTTTTACAAACTATGCGCATCTAAACTTTACCATCAAGCATTTTTTTTAGGTGGATAGAAACATAGCTTCTTAGCCACTCGTAACTGCACTGAAAGCTGATGTTTGGATGATGACTGGAGGGACTGACCGGCGGTGAAGCACTCGTTGAGACTCAGGCTGAAGGATTTGGTGAGGCTCATGGCTGGTTTGGTTTGATTGGAGCTCATGAGGCTGGCGAGGCCTGACGGCTGAGAGGTGGAAGAAGACGGAGGACCACAGGGAAGGACAAGGGATGACGGAGCACTTCCTGTTTTCAGCTGGTCGTTCTCTGCCTTCAGATTTTCCACCATACTCTACAATGAGAAAAAATCTGATTTGATTAAATGTTTCTTAAGTTGAGTCAAAGACCAAAACAGGTTCATTGCTTATTGTCAGTAGTGTAGTAAGCATTACAGGGTTTTCAAATGTTTCTTCTAATACTTTAAAGGGCCACAAAACCCCCTTGTTTCAGCAGAGTTTCACACCTCTAGTTTGGAAAAAGTCAGGAAGGTGGGAGTGTGGGGGGAAGGAAAGAGGGATGGGTTTGAATGAAATGGGAGTTTCCATTTGAGCACGGGCTGATTTTCACAGAGGCAAAACAAACAGACAGTACTGTTGGTATGTCTTCAGGAACAGGGTTGGGAAACACTTTCAGGGTTGACTGAAAACTGTCCCTTTGCAAATTAAGACTGGGTTTGTGATCCAGGGTTACAATTTACTCACTCTTGACTTTTTCCAAAACCAGTTTGAGCTTTTCTTGTTCTGTTTAATACAAAATAAGATATTTTGAAGATTGTTGGGAGCCAACCCTGCTGAAAAATACAGCTTAAACCAGCCTATGATGGTTAGCTGGTTTTAGTTGGTCGACCAGCCTTGTTTTAGAGGGGTTTTGACCACTTCCAGCCTGGAAAGTGACCAGCTAAAACCATCTAAAACCAGCTTGACCATCCTGGTTTAAGCTGGACATATCTGGTTTTGGCTGGGCTCCCAGCCTGGCTAGGCTGGTCAAGCTGGTTTAAGCTGGTCATCTCCCACCTTGTCCAGCAAAAACCAGACTGGAAATAGCTGGAAACCAGCCTGGAAGTGGCCAAAAACCCTCTAAAACCAAGCTGGTTGACCAGCTAAAACCAGCCAACCATCCTAGGCTGGTTTAAGCTGGATTTTTCAGCAGTGTTTGAATGGGTCTGAATGAAAATGGGAGTTTCCATTTGGACACGGGCTGATTTTCACAGAGGCAAAACAAACAGACAGACGCAGAGGAGAAAGACAGTGACTGTGTTAACATGGACATCAGTAATCAAATTATTTGCCAAATTATTAATTTGTGGACTGTAACTGCAGTTTGGCACTTTCATTCAGGAACATTTCATGCATGCCCCCCAGGACAAATGAGATATTGGATGCCAGGAACTGCTAGAAGAGTGTGGTTTTAATGGAATGTTTGATACCGCATGATGAATGGGAGAAAAAAAACTGCATTTCTCTGTTACTAAGATGCACTTGGTAGGTAGCTTCAGAAAGCCGTGTGTGTATAACGTTAGACTATCTTGTCACAAAACGCGGCAAAAACTTTACACAACGGTTAGATTGCGCTGTTTACATGTTTACACTTGGAGAGCCGCATTTACAGCGGATCCTTCAGCCCATAATATTGTAGTGATACTAACGTACTGTAAACTTAGTAACTTGTCACTAATCATTTGACTAAGGCCCCGTTTACACTAGTGCATTTTAGTTTTAAAACGGCGTTTTAGATCAAAAACGATCCGCGTCCACACTATCGTTTCACCTAGTGTCTCTGAACATATCTCCGTCCACACTACTCCACCAAAAACGTATATCACGTCACCATTTGCACACTCTAGTATAAGTTCTAGTTCTAGTATAAACAGAAAGCATGCATCTCGCTCGCCATTTTGTTATTGTTAGTCAACAAACGCCGGTTGAACATTAAACGCGATGGCAAAGAAAGCAAGAGAGGTATTTTTGTGGACAGACGACGAGGTTGAGTTGTTACTAAATGTAACAAATGAATCACTGCACAATGACACCTAAAACAGACAATAGTGCAAACAACGCTCCCATTTCTGTGTCCATGTTGTTTGTTTACAGTGAAGGCTGGTCTGTTGTCTTCCGGTAGCGTTAAAGCCATGTGTTATAGTCATGTGTTAGGGACTTGACGAATAAGGGAAGGATACGCAATGAAACAAAAGCCCCAATCAGGTAGCGAATCTCAGCAGTCCCGCCTCCGTTTTCAGATGTCTCCGTTTTTCCTCATCCACACTGAAACGGAGCAGCAGCGTTTTAGAATGAAAACGACCTCTCCAGCGCTTTCAAAACGCTCCGTTTTCGGCGCTCGAGAACTCCGGCGTAGTGTGGACGGATAGCGTAACCGTAGCGAAACTTATGCGTTTTAAAACGAAAATGCAGTAGTTTAAACGGGGCCTAAGGTTTGTCTTTAAACACTGAAAGAGTACTGCTGACGATACAAACTAACTTTGCGATCTGAATAAACAAACAAAGACCACTGATAGCTTACCAAATCTGTAAAGACAGGACAATCAACACCAACTGGAACTGCGTCTTTTTTAAAAAGAGACGAGCAGCTAATCCGGATTTCACCATTTCCAGATGCAAAAAGCTCTCGGTTAAAACAGTTCCTTACAAACGTGTTTCTGCCGCGTGTCGCGTGCACTGTAGTCCACACGTGAGTCCAGCTGCACTCTCATAGCGGGAAATGAAAACAAAACCTTTGTTGCAACACATTAATAAACGCAACACTGATGACCTGTATCTCCAAACAATTCTTCTTCTACTTGTTTTGGCAACACAATGCATATTTATATATAAGTGTTGCTCTCAGCAGTGTGGATGATCACGTTGTGTTTATATAGTGTTAAGTCCAAAAGTCGTCTGAAGTGTTCTGTATGTACCTGCATACTGTTCATGGCCTCTCTGAGCTGCTCCAGCTGATGTGCTGAGTTCAGCGCTTCCAGTCTGATGTCCGTGAGCTTCATCTCCTTCTCCCACAGCTCCGACCGCAGCTCAGACACCACCTTCTCATCGCTCTCCGTCTCTTCGTTACTCTCCAGAATCCTGTCAGAGCAAACATCATTGTCATTTTCAGTATGAGAACACTTTCAGTAAAGGGACAATTCCCCCCAAAATTCTGCCATAACTGTACTCCTGAACCTCAAAACTACTAAATCCATGTAAATCTTTGGACATAGAGATTCATATGTTATCTGAAAACTGAATAAGCTTTCAGTTGATGTATGGTTATGATATATATCTATCTGAAAATCAAAATATTTAGAAATTTCCCTTTAAAGTTGTTAAAAATAAACTTTGCAATTCATTTACTAATGAAAATGACATTTTCATAGATTTACAGAAATACATTTGATAAATGTCTTCATGGAACATGATTTTTAATTAACAGTCTAATCATTTTTGGCATACAATAAAATAGTTTTGACTTATACCAGTTTTTCCCAACCCTGTTCCTGGAGGCACACCAACAGTACAATATTTTGGATGTCTCCCTTATCTGAACCATTCATTTCAGATTGTCGAGTCTCTTCTAAGGTTCTGATGATTTATTTCTGGTGTGTTTGAATAAGAAGAGGTTAAAAAAATGTGTACTGTTGATGTGTCTTTAGGAACAGGGTTGGAAAGCACTGACTTATACAATGCATTTTTGGTTATTACCAAAACTCTACCTGTGCAAATTAAGACTGGGTTTGTGATCCAGGGTTACAATTTACTCACTCTTGACTTTTTCCAAAACCAGTTTGAGCTTTTCTTTTTCTGTTTAATACACAATAAGATATTTTAAAGATTGTTGGGAGCCAACCCTGCTGAAAAATCCAGCTTAAACCAGCCTAGGATGGTTGGCTGGTTTCAGCTGGTCGACCAGCCTGGTTTTAAAGGGGTTTTGGCCATTTCCAGCCGGGTCTTAGCTGATCAGGGTGGAAAGTGACCAGGTAAAACCAGCTTGACCATCCTGGTTTAAGCTGGACATAGCTGGTTTTGGCTGGGCTCCCAGCCTGGCTAGGCTGGTCAAGCTGGTTTTAGCTGGTCATCTCCCAGCCTGTCCAGCTAAACCAGGCTGGAAATAGCTGGAAACCAGCCTGGAAGTTGCCAAAACCCCTCTAAAACCAGGCTGGTCGACCAGCTAAAACCAGCCAACCATCCTAGGCTGGTTTAAGCTGGATTTTTCAGCAGGGAATGGTTAGAGGTTTCCAGCATTTTTCAAAACATCTTCTTTTGCATTCAACAGAAAAAAGAAATTCAAATCGGTTTGAAAAAAGGAAGGGTGAATATATAAATAAATAGTTAAATAAACACGTTTTTTGACTGTCTTTTTAAAAGCATCCTGAGGATGTAATAGTAAATAGCTGATGCTCATTGCTTTTATTAGCTCAGTAGGATGTTACTCACACAGAGGAGACGGCTGATTGGAGGGACTGAAGGGAAGGGGGCGGGTTCTCTCCATCTTCATGGGCCAGTTTTGGGGAGTTTGGTGCAGAGGAGTCTGGAGTGGCGATTTCTTCAATATCAGAGTACATCGAGCCTCCTTTAGCACCCTTCTTAATGCTGAATGCCTTGCCAAAAGAACTTCGCAACTACAGAGAGATTGAAAACAAAAAATACAGTGAAATTAAAAAATGTTTTTACAGAAATTAGTATTACAGTAGGTACTGAGTTTAATGGTTCTAGTATGAAAGTACCTATGTTTCCATCCACCTATTTTAGGCACATTTTGGAAAATCACAAAACAACAAAACAAAAATCTTAATGGAAATGGCGAATTTTGAAAATGCACAATTATGCAAACAAAACTGGTTAGGATCAAATTTTTATCCAATCAGAAAATAATGTGTATGAACTATGATGTAAACACATTATTGATTTTTTGAATAACATATTTACCTCACGTTCATTGTGTTTAGTTATCTGAGGTGCAAGTAATTTATTTTAGTAAAAATAGACCAACAGTGGCAACTCCCACCACATCAGATGCAATTTTTCTTTGTGAGAGTTTATTTAAGTGACTGTTTTGTTCTCTTTGACTTACTGGATGGAAACTGTGCTTTATTTGCAAATGTTTTATTGAATATTCCAGTTTTGCGCAGTAGTCTAATTCAATTTTTGGGATGGAAACATAGCTAATGTAACCATTGATGTTCATTGCATACATACATATATACATACATACATACATACATACATACAAACATACATATATCAAACATACATACAAACATACATATTTACAAACATACATACATACATACATATTTTCAAAGGAAACTACATGAAAACTGTGGTTGTGCACTAGTAGATAAAAATAGTTCCAATAGATCCATCTTACAGCTACTTATTATCCATCTTATTTTCCACCTACCCAGCTCTTCTTCTTCTTCTTCTTGGCGTCGTCCTTCAGGCTGCCCACACTGGAGTGACTCGTGATGCTGTTCAAACTTGAGATGCTTTCGCTTGAGTTCTGCCTCCTGATTCGCAACTCTGAAAGAAGAAATAAAATCATTTGTTCAGTAATAGACCCTTTTCACAATGACGCCACTTCACTGCCCTCTATCGGCAAAGCAGTGTATTTTTAGTTCCGGTTTACCTTTGAATGAATGGGAAATTTGAAAATAAAAACATTGCACTTTGTGATTTAAGTCTGTTAAAGTAGTGGATATGTGTCCAAGTGTTTCTCTTTCAATACTGAACTGCTCTCTGAGTTTGAAACTAAAAGTAATTAAGAATAGGAATAAGTTATTGTTTATCAAAAAAATTATGTTTGCAACCTTTTCAATTATTAATTCAGTTTATTTCCTCAATAATGGATTTATATTTCCTTTGATGCTGCTATAATTATAAACGTATATTATTTGTCATATGAATGTTCCTGCATGAGTAAAATTCTTTATGAAATTTTCTCATATCATCTGTTGAGTATTTTATCTATAAATGTTTCATTATTTATTATTTACTAGTATCCATAATTGTTTTTCTTTCTGTTTCTCCATTTGAATGAATTATAGGCTTATTTTTTACTTCTGCGTCAAGCGCGCGTGTATGCTTCGGTGCAGCCTTCGCGTGGTCGCACAGCCTTCGGTGTCGCCGACGCTGACGTGCACCACTCAAAAAATGTATCTACATGTCACAACGATGTGTAGCGCAAGCTCTGTGATTGGTCGGCTTGGTAGCGCTGATGAGTGTGGGTGGGACCGAAAGCCTAGCGAACCTGTTGGAGAGAGTGTTTCCAAGTGTCAGATCCAGTGAACTAGCTCTAGATGGAAAGTTTTATTTTTTGTTTACCTTATGATTAAAGTTGTTGCACGTTAGCCAGTTCCTGTCTTAAAATGAGGGAGTTTGAGCCACTTGTACACTAAAGTAGTGTTCAGAAAAAACAAAACACCAGCGAAGAAACTCAACACAGAGGAACATAAAAACCTACTGCCAGCTAGCACTTTGGAAGTGTTATTGCAGAGCAACAGAAACAGCGTGCAGATTTATGCACGGCAACGTGCGAGGCATGTGGCGTTGGTCACGCTGATCACTTAATGAAGAAGTATAAACCAGGCTTAAGACCTTTAGACAGTGTCCTGCCGCCACCTACTGGGTGGTTTTATTTTTAATATCTGTATAACTTTTACCCTAATTAATAATTATAGTTACAAATAATTTCATATTATAATAATACTGCAATTTAATTATAGAATTAAACTGCAGTCTTCTTAAGCCGCCTTTCCACTGCACATGACATTTGGACACGACTGTCAGAATAATTCACAATTACATAATTTGCTTACATAACAATTTTCAGTTTTGTCATGCACCATGGGAATCTGTTCTTGCAATGTCCGGAATAAAGGAGTACAAAAGCAAGAGTCTTTGTTCTCTGTGCGATCACCATGGTTGAATGACTGAATACGAAAAACCCATAGACCGCAAAAAAATTAGAAGGGAATGTAAAGACAGCATAAAAATAAATAAAAATGATTACTCATTTATGAATATAAATGTTGTTTTTAATATAAACTTTTTTTTTCTGATTCCAAAAATAAGGAAAAAAAATCTATTTCTCATCTCCCTTGCACAGAGCTGCTTGAACCACACTTAAATACACATCCGGCCGGCCGGTTGCATGCGGTCTAGAAGCAGGAGTTCAAACATTTTAACGGATCCACAGCTCAATTCGGATCTGAATTTTCTGCATAAGGAAGATGATAGGAACACGCAGCTCCCAGACTACTCTCAATTGGAAATGAATGACTTCCGGTTTGTCGCTTGTCGTGTGCAATGGAAAGGGGGCTTTATTATTAGAAAACAGCCGTAGTGACCATCTAACCATATCTGTAGTAAATATACAGCTGACTGGATGAACTCTCTATTGGCTCGTTTCCACTGACTGGTACATTACAGTACGGTTCGGGTCGGTACGGGTCACCTTTATCAGGCTTGCGTTTGGTGTATGACAAAGTTTAAGTCGACATCATGCTCGCTCGAATAAATGTCTACAGTAAGGCTGTACGGGTTGTTCACATATCATAATGAGCAGCACTTCTCACAAAACATATACTTTACACATAAATACTTGTCAATAAATGTTTATTACTAACTTTTCTCTGAACAGGAGTTGATTATAGCTGCAGATCAATGACAGTGCAAAATAGGCTACTGTAACGTCTGTAATTATATAAAATAAATACATAAATGCAACATATATGAACATATACCGCCCCTTACGGTCTCCGATATACTATTAATTAAAGTAAAACTACACGCATCATACATTTAGTACTTATTTGAGTTCAAAAACACACGCAATATAGCCCACAGTCAGCGCAAACCTCTCATCTGTGTCTGTAATGTTCACCAGCACATGCAAGCTCTGTTAGAGAGTCATTTTGTCATTCCCAGTTCATAATAGTCCAAAAGGCGAAGATAAACACGGCAGTTTGTTCATGATTCAGGTTGTGAAACACTTTTGCTCCTGTGTTTTGCCGGGTTTCTCCTTTTTTTCCGCGCTTTACTCTCTCGCTTGTCCTTTTCTTTCTGAATGGATCAGATGACGGAGACACTTTAACAATCACGTAACGTCACACTTTATTATCATCAGCTCAAGAAGTTTGTTATATCAAATATAGACGCGATTGCGCGCTCCCGGAAGAAAGCGAATACCGCTCGCACTTTTAGACGGCCTCGTAAAGCAACAACAGGACACAGCAGATTTTGTTCTTCTTTGCATTGTGTCTGTTCATCAAGATGACGGCATGAGCCCGGGTCATGCATGGCTGGTTATTTCATGCATATAGTAACGTTATATCCATGTAATCTCTCGGCTGTGTATTAGAACATGGCAGATCCTTTGTTTTCATTTGTCTAGCTCCTCGAGCTCGTGACGTATCTCTGTAACCAATCAGCGTTCGGCTGCGCGTGTAGCTCCACCTTTTGGTACCCTTTCTCGTTTTTGGGACCCTTTTAAAAGGGTGCCGAAAAAGTGGTACGGTACGGTTTGGTTCGGTACGCTTATTGACAGTGGAAACGGCCATAAAAGCCAACCAAACCGAACCGTACCGTACCACTCAGTGGAAACGGGCCATATGAGGAGCTCTGTGTAGGCGGAAGTAAAGATACACTGCCTGGAGTGAAACCGGACAAGAGTGACGTCATGTTAAAAGCGTCTATTATGGTTATCTGTGTTCCCATGGGTGATGGGATTTCTGGATTTATCATTGGATTTAAAAAGGGCTATAGAATACTTTTTTGGCAGTAAAACCTGCTCTGTTTACTTTTTGCATATCTGAAGTTCCAGTTTCCTTTTTGTGGAACGAGAAAACGCTCACCCTCAGCTTTTTGGTCAAGATGAGACCAGACATAAGCCAACGTGAGGAAAAAACACTGTTGATTTTCTTTAGTGCTAGTTATTTGACATCTACATGGTCTGTCCAGGACTTTAGGGTGGGAAGGCTGCATTGTAAACTGAGCTGTCCTCACCTTTGGGGGCAACATCAGGGTTATTGAGGGCGACTTGGATGACGGCCTGCGCCTCCATGTTCTTGGTCTTCAGGCTCTCGATGGTTTCCTTCAGCTCTATTAATTCACCATCCTTTAGGGAAAAACACATCTATTTAGTCTGTGTTCAACCAATAAAAGCAGAAACACCAATCCCCAAAGCGCTGCCACTGACATTTTTCCAAACAAATGTAGGTTAACTTTTGTATTTTAGACACTGATTTACTGGCTGGATTTGATATTTATAGCAGACAAAGCCATAGTGATGTCAATATAAACTCCATGTGTTCAACACCGGCACTTTGAATCTATCCCTCAAACAATCTGTGGGGTCACAGACACTGTAATGATGCGATAATTCAGGCCACTGCCTCTTTCACACAGGGCAATGTACCATAAATGTCTGTTTTAATTTCTGGACTGTCCTCCATGTAAGATCATTCAGCCTTGGGGCAAATCATGCGCTCAAAAAACTGGAGTATGGCACAAATAATGCTGCGACCCTTTGGGAGTAAATGAACAGCCAGCAACCCCCAACCTCTATCCAGGCATTTGACCCAAATTTGCTCTTTTATACTCTAAGTGATTCTGTGAAGTGCACATAGCATAGATCTAAATAGAGACTGTGGGCAGTAAAAGGATAATGTATGTTTGGGCAATATGTTTCATGCACACCATTCAATCTACATGAAAACATGCACAGAATAAACATATTCATCAAGAACAACAACTTACATATTGTCACCTTGGAATTATAAGTTTCTATCTGCATTCTAAGTGATTTGGTACACCCTTATGATTGACTGATGGGTGGTTCTTGAACGATTCGTTCATTTTGAACGAATCTTCAATATGACTCGGGAACTACGAGTCCTCTCAGGGAGTGATTCGCTCATCCGCCAGTGCGCACATTTGTGCAGGTGGTATCGTTCATTTCAAGTCTTTTGAGTCGTTTGTCGCAGAAAGGCAAAAGTTAATCATTTGTGTTTAGAGCCGGAAAAAGTTCAAGTTCAAGTTCAAGTTGCTTTATTGGCATGACATTAAGTACAGTATTGCCAAAGCACTTCAAATATGAAACATTAAAACCATTGAACAATTAATAGTAATACAGATAAGATATAATGACACACACAAAAAAAATAAAATAAAATAAAAATACATTTGATAAATATAATAATAATAAAAAGTTTAAATTATTTAAATAAGATACATGAGTTTACATTAACCATTTCTTATGGTGTGTAGGGTGTATACATATTTTGCAGCTAGTCTAAATGTCAATTTGCCCTCTCCGAGTATATGGTAAAGTTTTCCTGAGTCATTTAAATTAAAAAAATGAACTGATCAATGTTTCAAATTGGGGGAAAAACATTTCTCTAGTCGTGGTGTATTTGGGGCAAAACAGAAGGAAGTGTGTCTCATCCTCTATTTGGTTTGTGTCACACTGTTTACATATTCTCTTTTCCTTAGGAGTCCAGGATTTTTTATGTCTGCCGTTTTCTATTTTTAGGTCATAATCACAGAGGCGATATTTAGAAAGAATGTGCTTTTCTTTTAATTGTTTTAATGATAAATAATTTGCAAACTGTGTGGTTCTATTTAGGGCCGAATAACATTTAAGTTTAGTCTGGAGGTTGAATTCAGTTTTCAGTTTTTCATCATAGTTATATTTTAATGTTTTGTCAATTTGTTTGTGAAGGTTTTGTTTGGGGACGGGTTCGGTTTGTGTTTTTTTCAGTAGTTCAGATACCAGTGTGTTTAGAGGATGAGACACTGTAGGTTTTTTATCAGCCAGAAGGGCTTTATATTGGACAGACTGGGGGTCCGACTGATGCAGGTGCAGCCAGAACTGAACAGCCCGTTTCTGAATCTCCAAGTTTAGCGGGTAATAGAATCGATCCGTTTATCTCTCGAGTCCTCTATCGGGTCTGAGTCGTTCGTTCCTCACGAGCCAATCATATGCGTTTAGAGCCGGAAAAAGAATTGATCGGTTCATCTTTCGAGTCCTCTATCAGGTCTGAGTCGTTCGTTACTCATGGGCCAATCATATGCGATAAGAGCCAAAAAAAGAATTGATCCGTTTATCTCTCGAGTCCTCTATCAGTTTGAGTCATTCGTTCCTTACGGGCCAATCATATGCGTTTAGAGCCAGAAAATAAATTGATTAGTTCATCTTTCGAGTTCTCTATCAGGTCTGAGTCATTCGTTCCTCCCAGGCCACTCATATGCGTTTAGAGCCGGAAAAAGCATTGATTTGTTCAACTCTCGAGTCTTCGGGTTTGAGTCATTCTGTCACGTGATGAACGAACGACTCAAGAGACAGAAGACTCAAAAGGTGAACTAATTATCATGGCTCCTATCGGCTCAGACTGTGTACATTGGTTAAGATTATATGTGACTGTCAAGTGTAACGTGAACGAACCACTGACATTTGAAGACATGAAGAGGTGAGCTGAGCAAAGAGACAACAATACCTTCTTAGACAAAAGAGCAGGTAAACATTGAACTATTATTTTCTCCTTCTTATAGAATTCTATTTCTGACTTATTTTGTTGTGTGATCAACCTTTTGGGCTGGTTGTAGATGTGTTTGGAAGCAATTCGTAACATTTTAATAATATTTTGGCAAATTAAACCAAATAAATGAAATGACTCGAAAAAAGATTCGTTCATCTCGATGAACAAGACCCAAAGATCCGAGTCAGTAAAATGATCCGAACTTGCCATCACTATTATGATTACATTTTGTTTAGTAAAACATACTCCCAATAATCCTGTTTTTTCTAATGACTTAATAAAACATGGAATTTTAATGTAAAGGATTCAAACGTATTGCCTTGTAAAACACACTCTAATAATCATCGTGTTATATAAGACTGCTTTTAAAAAAAAACATTACAAGAGATCCATATCACATTATTATATATTTTTATGTCCAACCATGGGTCAATTCCCTTCCTCATTTTTATTCACACAAAGATCCCGGCAGTATATGTTTTGTCAGTTTATGATAAATGCTGTACCTTCTGCTCAGCGCTGAAGGAGAGGGTCTGCAGTCGAGAGGTCATGAGAGCCAAACTCTGCTCAAACGCTGCCACCAGATTGGCCTAGAGAAATGCAAAACGAAAAAAAAAAAGAAAAGAAAATAGTTAAGATGGTACTAAACATTTGGAATGCTTAATCTCTCAAAGATACGGGGCTGTTGAAAATGGATTAAAAATATAATTTAGCCAATGCAAGGCGAGTTGATTTATATAGCATGTTTCATAAACAATGCTAATTCAAAGTGCTTTACATGTACAGTAGAAGATCATTTGAAATAAGTATAAGATAATCACAAAATAGAAACAAACAAAGCATCAGACATAAACAATAATTCTATAATAATAAATAATAATTCAGACTACAATTGTGACTTGTGAGTGCAGACGTACATTAGCGGACAGCTGTGTGGTTAGACAGGCCACTTTCTCCTGTGAGGACTCCAGCTCTCTTCTCAGCTTGCGGATTTGCTGGGAAGAAAACACACAAACTTGTTAATTCAATCAAGAAAATGACATCAAATTTACAAGCACAGAAGAACACCAAGTAATAAGGATCCTATCATCCTCTCTCATCCTCATGTTGATCCAGACTTGGGTTGCTTTTTTTGCAGAAAAAGAAGATGATGTTAGATTGCTCCAGTCTAAATAAACACAACTAAACACAGTAATGCTCAGAAAAGCTACACAGAAATTAAAAAAAAGCATTTTTAAAGGAATGGTTCACCCATAATGAAAATTTATTTACTCATTGTTTCTGTCAGCTTTGCATTTAATTAATGATTTAATAAACTATTAAAGCTGAGAACAAAGTTTTCTATGTACAGTTGAAGTCAGAATTATTAGCCCCCTTTCAATTTTTTTTCTTCTTTTTTAAATATTTTTAAAATAATGTTTAACAGAGCAAGAAAATTTTCACAGTATGTCTGATAATATTTTTTTCTTTTGGAGAAAGGCTTATTTGTTTTATTTCGGCTACAATAAAAGCAGTTTTTAAATTTTTAAACACCATTTTAGGGACAAAATGATTAGGGTATATTTTTAGGGTATATTTTTAGGGTATATTTTTTTTCTCGATAGTCTACAGAACAAACCATCGTTATACAATAACTTGCCTAATTACCCTAACTTGCCTAGTTAACCTAACAAACCTAGTTAAGCCTTTAAATGTCACTTTAAGCTGTATAGAAGTGTCTTAAAAAATATCTTGTAAAATATTATGTACTGTCATCATGACAAAAATAAAATAAATCAGTTATTAGCAATGAGTTATTAAAACTATTATGTTTAGAAATGTGTTGAAAAAATTAGCTTTTTGTTGGGGAACAAATAAACAAGCTGTCTAATAATTCAGGGGGGCTAAAAATTCTGACTTCAACTGTGTATATATATATATATATATATATATATATATTTTTTTTTATTATTATGAGGTAAGTAGCAATGCAATAAGTGGAATAAAGTGCATCCAAGAGTGCTGTTTTCTTGTACTTTGAACATACTTTATCCCTAATGTATATAATATGACACAAATCTCTAAATAGTTTTTCCTAAATTTAAGTTTTAATGTAAAAGGCAGCAGTGAAGCTCCAGGAGTTTCAGCTCACTGCAGCTGCTGGAAAACTGTGACAGATGAGATTTAACACTCCCAAAAACAACTGTGTCTGTTTATATACTGTAGGCTCAGTTTGGAACGGCTGGATAGATTCTGTACATGCGACTGAATGTAACAAAAAAGACAAATGGTGAGTATGTCCACATACCGAGACGTAAACCAGACACACAACAAACTCAATGGGGAATCAGACTCACTTGGATTTAAGACAAGCTTGGAATTACAAAACCAAGTGTGTTGTTTACCAGAAAACTCCCAAAGAGAGCTTTTCGAAGATTTTTTTTATTTTTTATTTTGCATCCATAGACCAAGTAGACAGATTCATGAGAAAGCGAAGGCCAATTCCCATCAGGATAAAACAATACGACAGCAAAATTAGAGTCAATCACACAGAACACATATTTGCTTGTAAAACTGCAAAGGATGCAACTCAGCGCATTACTGTAACAAATCTCAAAATAATATTGAAGAGTAGCACATTAAATTGAGAAAATACATTCTGTGTGAATGGCCCGTAAGACAATAAAAGTATGAAAGTCACTATAATGATACCTTTTTGTATTTGATCATTAGTATTATTATTATTATTATTATTATTGTGGTACCACTATACAGTAAGGTATTATTTAGCTAATGTTGATTAACTTTTGATCTTAAAAATGAGTATATTTTGAGTTACGGATTGACCTAATATGAATAAATGCTGTAGAATTGTGGTAACATTTCAACTAACAATAAGTACAAATATTTTATAAAATTGTCATGTTATATATATATATTTTTTTTTTTTATTATTATTGTAGAACATGCCTAGAAAAACGTATTGTACGCTGTTGTTCATTTAGATATATATGTTAAAAAAATACATTATTTTAAAAATAGTGATTATTCCGCAGTATGTAGTGCTGTCTCGCCTTTCAGTGTGGAGTTTGCATGTTCTCCTTGCGTTTGCGTGGGTTTCCTCCGGGTGCTTCGGTTTCCCCCACAGTCCAAAGACATGCGTTACAGGTGAATTGGGTAGGCTAAATTGTCCGTAGTGTAAGAGTGTGAATGAGTGTGTATAGATGCTTCCCAGAGATGGGTTGCAGCTGGAAGGACATCCGCTGCGTAAAACACGTGCTGGAAAAGTTGGTGGTTCATTCCGCTGTGGCAACCCCGGATTAGTAAAGGAACTATGCCGAAATAAAAATGAATGAATGAATGATTATTCTGACAATACGTTTTATATTGTTGAATTATAAATGATTCTTATTACCATTTAACTAAAGACATCTTTGCTGTGTAGAGTTCCTGAACTAATTTAACTATTAAACGTTATCTCTTTTTTAAAAGATTTTTTTTTTTGCCGTTATTATGATCAGACGGTACCTGGACCGGAAACAAACTTGGAGAAAGAAAGAGGGGGGACTGGATCGAGAAAGTCCCTTGAGCCTGGACTCAAACTCGGGACACTATAGCACAATAGGGCTACATGTTGATACACTGCCCACAACGATTTTAAAAGTTTTGAAAACAAGCTCAGCCGAAAATATTTAACATTTACCTCTGAGCATACAACATAATTGTCTTTAAACGTTTATCAGTAGTTGTTAAAAATCACTGTTTGTATGGAGAAGCAGTCTTTTGTTTGTATTAAAGTCTGGGTCAGTTTTTATTTCAGTATGTTGATGTACTTCCAACTGAAACAGAATATTAAATAGGGGTGGTACTTTCTTTTTGCACATCATTCTCAATGTTGGGCAGTAGCGTTGCTACAAGTAGGGACGCTATTAGCTTAAGTACATTTCTCAGTAGCGTGGCAGTATTATCGCTACTTTCTAAATTAAATAGCTTTTCAGTAACGAAGCTATTTTATTAGTCAAGCAGTGCAGTGTTATATACTATAATGTGTTTCTGTTTAGTACAGAATAATATTTGCAGTAAATAACTGAACTGAACTATTCTGCCTCATATATTTGATATGCTAAGATATGCCTCTTATGCTAAGAGATGATTGACTTGGATTTAAGTTGTTTCTATTTAAAAATGAAAATTGTAAAAATAGCTTAGATGTAGCTAAACTACTTTTCCATGTAGCTTTTAGCTTAGCTTGCTACATTTCCCAGGGGGTAGCTTTTAGTGTAGTCAAGCTACATTTAAAGTAGAGTAGCTAATAGCTTAGCTCATTACATTTTTCAAGTAGCTTGCCCAAGCGATAGACGATGCCATCGTCCATCGCCGATGGCCAATAGACAACACGATGCTGAGCCGGCATCAAGTCATATTACTCTTGACTTAGCTGTAAAATTATACTTGTTTTATCACATCTGAAATGAATTGGCCTTCACGTTAAAGTTGTGAAACACAAAACACGGAGGAAATTATGAGCACCGACAAGGTTAGCTATTCATTTGCCTGAGCCCAGAGACAGTCCATCATGACTGATTAAATCAGAACTGGACAAAACACAGCAGAGAAACTTCATAACAGCCTTCTGAACAGCTAATGCCAGTGTACTGCTGCTGTGCCATTGACATTAGCTGACCCACATGATAAAAAAAAATAGTATAGCAATTTATAGCACATACTATATTGTTCTTGAACCATACTACAGGGTGGGCCATTTGAAATGGTTATCGATATTAACGTCCTGTTTGTGGCACATTAGTATATGTGAGGGGGCAAACTTTTCAAGATGGGGGGTGACCATGGTGGCCATTTTGAAGTCACCATCTTGGATCCAACTTTTGTTTTTTCAATAGGAAAAGAGTCATTTGACACATCACACTTATTGGGAATTTCACAAGAAAAACTATGGTGTGCTTGGTTTCAACATAACTTCTCCCACTCTTCACACACTGAAAGCAACACTGCAGGAGAAATGCCAGCACAGGCTTCCAGTATCCGTAGTTTCAGGTGCTGCACATCTTGTATCTTTACACCATAGATGATTGCCTTCAGATGACCTCAAAGTTAAAAGTCTAACGCCCCATTCACACGGGGCGTTAGCGTCAACGCTTCCCATTCGCTTTAAATGGGTGACGTCAGGCCTTGCCGAACTGCATTGTGGATCCGTCGGTGCCGCTTCAGAGGCATTGCTCACTGCAGAAGTTGGGACTAGCTCAACTTTTCAAGCGCCAACGGAAGCGTCAGCCAATCAGATCGCTGTATGCAAATACACCAGCTAGACAGTGGCCTATTGCTGACTGAATTTAATTGGCTGACGCTTCTATGACGATCCCTTCAGCCCCAACTTCAGACACACCTTCAGTCAAGCGTTGACGCTGAAGCCCCGTGTGAATAGGGCATAAGGGAGTCAGATCAGGAGACCTTGGGGGCCATTTGACTGGCCCACGGTGACCAATCCACTTTTCAGGAAACTGTTCATCTAGGAATGCTCGGATCTGACACGATAATGTGGTGGTGCACCATCCTGCTGTAAAAACTCAGGGGATGTGCCAGCTTCAGTGCATGAAGAGGGAAACACATCATCATGATGCAATTTCAAATATCCAGTGGCCTTGAGGTTTCCACTGATGAAGAATGCCCCGACTATCTTTGTTGTCTATGGTGTAAAGATACAAGATGTGCAGCACCTGAAACGACGGATACTGGAAGCCTGTGCTGGCATTTCTCCTGCGGTGTTGCTATCAGTGTGTGAAGAGTGGGAGAAGAGGGTTGCGTTAACAATCCAACACAATGGGCAGCACATTGAACACATTTTATAAGTGGTCAGAAACTTAATGAAAGAACAAAGTTATGTTAAAACCAAGCACACTACTGTTTTTCCTGTGAAATTCCCAATAAGTTTGATGTGTTAAATGACCCTCTTCCAATTAAAAAAACAAAAGTTGGATCCAAGATGGCCGACTTCACAATGGCCACCATGGTCACCACCCATCTTGAAAAGTTTGCCCCTCACATATACTAATGTGCCACAAACAGGACGTTAATATCGATAACCATTCCCATTTTATTAAGGTGTATCCACATAAATGGCCCACCCTGTACAGTAAAGTGTATTATCTACAACAGTCACCATTTCGTCACCTTGGAATTATAAGGTTCTATTCATGATTTTGAGATATTGAGGTTTTGCATTCCATTAAGCAAACATTATGTGTGTAACTTTTTTTTTTTTTAAACAATACGTCTTAAAATTTAAACAACTTATAAAAAACATCTCATAATGTAAATAGGTTGTCATGTAATAAGAATATGTCAATAACTCAATTTTGACAAAAATTTCAGATGGAACCTTATAATTCTAAGGTGACGATTTATGGATCAAAAAGTTAATCAAAGTTATTCTTGTTTTGGTTTTAGGACAACTTTGATGAAAATGTTTGATTTACTTCAACTGGGAAGTGAACTGATAAACTGTAATAAATATACTTTAACAAGGATGTTACTGTAGTTTTTACTACAGTAAACAGGTTTTGGTAACACTTTAGAATAGCTATACGTTCTAACTAGTTAATAGTCCATTAAAATACTGTTAGTTAATGAGTTATAAATGACTTGTAAAATAAAAGTGAATAGTTTGTTAATTATTTATAACTGTACCTTGTAGATGGCAAATAGATAACTTACTGGCTGTTAGTAAACAAGTTGTAAATGACTTGTTAACTGTATTTTAATGATTTATAACTACACCTAATAAATTAGTTAAACTTGTTAACTAACAGCTTGTAAGTTATCTATTGGCTATCTAAAAGGCACAGTTATAAATAATTAACAAACTATTAACTTTTATTTAACAAGTCATTTATAACGCATTAACTAACAGTAGTTTAATTATCTACCACAGGACTCACCAACCCTGTTCCTGGAGAGCTACCTTCCTGCAGATTTTAGTTGCAACCCTGACCAAACACACCTGTTTGTAATTATCAAGTGCTGCTTTAGGTACTATTAATTGGTTCAGGTGTGTTTGATCAGGGTTGGGTCTGAGTTCTGCAGGAAGGTAGCTCTCCAGGAACAGGGTTGGTGACCCCTGATCTATTAACTAGTTATAACGGGTAGTTATTCTTAAATGTTACCCAGGTTCTTGTAGTAGAATACATCCTATAGCTGTAAAAAAATTAAAATAAAAAATACAGTATTGGGAAATGTGTTTGTATATCTATAGTTGTTGTAACCAAATCAAAGAAAGAGTTAACAAATTAACTCAAGTTCAGTGGGCATCAAAACACTTTAGTATTTACTTTAAATTACTAAAGTATTTTTTTATAAGAGGGCATAGCTGTTATGATCTCTGAGTATTACAGAAGATGTTATTGATCTGACAAACTCCAGCATGATAGAGAGGGCAATGAGAGAAAGAGAAGCGACAGACACTCACCTCGCCCTGCATTCTCTCCTCCGCCTGAGAGAAGCACGCAAAGAAAACAACCACAGATCCACAGTCAGATACTACATACAGTACAGTACAGTGCAGTGATGAAGATACAGAAATACAACTGGAGACAGAAACAGGGCTGCACCATTTGGTCAGATTGATTTAAGTGTGTTAAATATTAAAACCACGCTCAGTACATCCAAAAGTTTGTTTTTGACTTTTATTACAATTATTGTTATGTTTTTAATTATTTTTTTGGTTTGTTTGTTTGGATTTCTTTTTAATGGAGAAAAGATTTTTCCAAACAAATTTCTATTCATAATAGTTTTAATAACTTATTTCTAATAACTGATTTATTTCATCTTTGCCATGATGGCAGTAAATAATATTTGATTAGATTTTTATCAAGACACTTCTATACAGCTTAAAGTGAGACTTAAAGGCTTACCTAAGTTAATTAGGGTAACTAGGCAGGTTAGGGTAAAGCTTAAAGGGGCTAATAATTTTGACTTTAAAATGGTGTTTAAAAAATTAAAAATTGCTTTTATTCTAGCCAAAATAAAGCAAAAAAGATTTTCTCCAGAAGAAAAAATATTATCAGACCTACTGTGAAAATTTCTTTGATCTGTTAAACATCATTTGGGAAATATTTAAAACAGAAAATAAAATTGAAAGGGGGGCTAATAATTCTGAATTCAACTGTATACATACAGCGAAAAAGTCAAATTCGTACGTAACTCACATTACTTGTAATGCATTACCCCAACACTGTATTTATACACAGACTTCTTTAAAACTTGTACTGTAAAACAGTACTGAAATATTTAAATATAATTAACAAAGCAGAATTGTTGTAAATATCTTTACAATTTAAAAACAATAGATTTTGGTTCATTTATTACACATGGTAAATATTTCCTTCACGTTAAAAAGCAATAACTTGATTTAAATAAAAATAAACTGCTTAGTTTTAAAGTGATTAGTTGGCTTGTCTTGCAAAATTGATAAAAGGCATTGCCTTATAATATTAAGTAAATAAAGTATTTGCATAATTATAAAAAAATAAGTTACATCAACTTAAAAGTTAATGGGTTTACTCACATTTTCAAGTAAAGTCAACTAGACGCTCTTAAACCAAAGAGTTTACAAATTTCTCTTAATTAAAGAAACTAATTGCTTTTCATAGTGCATGAATAGAGGTTGGTTTAGTGCTTAGTTGTTCTCAGTTATTGATTATTTGCCGAATAATTATTCATAATAATACTTATCATTATTATGAATGTTGTCAGCAACTATACATATAAATCCTTTTATGACATTATTTACATTGTTCATATTAACTATTGATCAAGTTATTGCATCCTTGCTGAATAAAAGTAGTTTTTTTAGAGATTGCAATAATATTAGACCATAATATATTAATACAATAACATTAAACATCAGCAAATTATATTACATGGCATGTCTATTTTTACTGTATTTTTAATTATTTCACCCTTGCTGAGCAGAAACAACCTCAAAGACATTAAATACAATATTTTATATATAATAATAATTAATATATAGTTATTATCATAATTATTATTATTAAATAATAAAGTATTAAAATATTAAAATATGAATAATTATATTAATATATAATGAATTTATAATAATTATTGTTTTTAAATGCCCAAACATTCAATTTAACCATAGACTCAATAGAATGCTACAGTATTATAAATTGTGCAGCCCTAGACAGGAATGATATAAAATGCATGTTTAATAAAGCAATGATAGATGATTTCACTATTTATGTGGGTGTTAAGCAGTATTACTTATGGGTGAATCTGTGAATGAAACAAATTTGACATTTTTATTTTTTATTACCTGTCATTTTGACTAATTGGAGTTTTTTTATACTGTTTTGTAAAGCTAAAGAAAGTCTGCTTTTCATCCGACCAAACCTGTCATTTGCAGCGGCTCGACTAACATCTCCTTTTCCAGTAGTGAAAGCAGAGAAAACTTCATGTGGTCTCCAGTAAATCAGCAGGAGAAAACAAACACTCTGAGACAGACAGACAGAAAGAGGTCAGACACTTACTGATGAGTAGCTGGACGAAGCATTGGACACCAGCGACAGGACTGAGCCATGAACTGCAGGATGACAAAAAAGAGAAAAGCACAGTTAGGATGGTCTACATCAGGGGTCTCAAACTCAATTTACCTGGGGGCCGCAGGAGGCAATGTCTGGGTGAGGCTGGGCCGCATAAGGGATTTCACAAAAAAAAAAAAAGTCCTCAAATGTCATTATTAACAGTTTTAATTATTTCTTCTGAACATGAAGTGTCCTGAACATTAATAGAACATTGAGTGAAGATTATGAACAGTTCTTCTGAACATGGCATCTTTTGCCTACTTCTTGCTGCCAGAGACTTGACAGCGCTTCTGCTCACAAATCTGAACCACATTTGGCTTTAGAGCGGAAGCAGTTGAGACCCTCAGTATGGCTTGAAGATGATCATCATTAAGTCTAGACCTGTACTTTGACTTATTGAAGTCCTAGGGAAAAAAGTGGGGGAACTCACTCAAAACTTCCATTCCCTCACCTAAAAAAAAGGCGTATATATGTATAAATAAAACACCCCAACCCCACTCCAGTCACATCAGTCTGTACCAGTCTGTATCTACCTATAATATCAATATATATAAGATGCAGGGCAGGCACGTGCACACATAGGGCTCAACCTGTGCAGAGCACATGCCCTTTTTAGTCTTGCATGGAAAGTGCCCTTCCAAAATGATCAAAAGTGCCCCCGCGACGCGACACACCCTCGGTCCCGCCCTTTAGTAGGCGCGCGATAACACCGCTCTTGAGTACGCGCGCGACAACACAGCTGATCAGAACGCGCGCGACAACGCGCACTGAGTGACAAGCGCGCTGTGTACGGATAGAATCAGCGGAGCGGGGAACGCTCTCTCTCCCCGCTCCGCTGATTCTGTCAGAGTACAGCGGTCGGCGCGGGCCACAAAATATTGCACTGAGGGCCGCAAAGGGCCCGCGGGCCGCGAGTTTGAGACCCCTGGTCTACATTGTTTACAATTACCGTATATTAAAAAATGAAAAGTTAAGTCAACTTAACAGTTAACGGATTTCATTCAAAGGTATGATCAACAAAGGTATCCAACAAACAAAATACTTAGAATTTTAGAATTTCCATTTATTCTGTGATTTTTTTTTTCAACCACTAACAACTACTTACTATTTGCGTGTTCAAACAACAACCAAGTCTCGGAAGCTATTAAAAAATAACCCAAAAATGTCCTTAGTGATGCTTGAAGGTTAAGGGTGGTTCTTCATTTATTCATTCATTTTCTTGTCGGCTTAGTCCCTTTATTAATCCGAGGTCGCCACAGCGGAATGAACCACCAACTTATCCAGCATATGTTTTACACAGCAGATGCCCTTCTAGCCGCAACCCATCTCTGTGAAACATCCACACACACTATTCACACACACACTCATACACTCATACACTACGGACAATTTAGCCTCCCCAATTCACCTGTACCGCATGTCTTTGGACTGTGGGGGAAACCGGAGCACCCGGAGGAAACCCACGCGAACGCAGGGAGAACATGCAAACTCCACACAGAAACGCCAACTGAGCCGAGGTTTGAACCAGCAACCCAGAGACCTTCTTGGTGTGAGGCGACAGCACTACCTACTGCACCACTGCGTCGCCCTGGGTGGTTCTTAGGGTAAATTAAATTATTTAAATAGTATAATATGCACTGCGCTCTTATATATTTTTTTTTGCCTGGTGTGTGGTCTCTAATATTTTAATTTGAACGTTGTTGTTTTTTTATATTATTTTATTTTCAAAAAGTTCACTATAAAATATATTCAAATGAATGCAGATCACTATTTCTTTTTTTTTCAAACACTTATTTGTATAATAAAAAAAGAGAGGTTATTTTAATAAGAGAGCAATGTTGTACAGCCTCTGGCATCTTTTGCTCACCGTCATCATTGTCTCTGTCTCTGAAGGAGCCGGAGCGGATCATGCTCTTGGGCCGCTCGGCGAGGGACAGGGTGCTGCCCAGTGGAGAGGCCTGATAGAGCTCGAAACTGGCCTCATGTGTGGGGATGCTGTTGGATCTGGTCATCCGAGGTGTTCCTGAGGTGGAGCTGGGACTCACTGCACATTACACACAGCAGAGGGAGACAGAGCTCATGAGTCACGGGAAGAAAACACTTGCATCGTGCATTTATTTCAGTCGGTTAAACAACAAGGGATGAAATGCATAAATCCTTTTTTATGTTCCTTTTTAATTCATTAAGTTAACAAATAATTAATTTATTTGTTTGTACAGTCTGCATTAATTAGTGCATGTTATCCTGAGAAATCCCCTAATCTTTTATCAGTCATGGCCTTGTTGGGAGGGAAGATTTTTTTTTAAATAATAATAATAATCAACTATTATAATTATTATAAGTGAATTAATAATAATAATAATAATAATAATAATAATAATAATAATAATAATAATAATAATAATAATTATTATTATTATTATTATTATTAACAACAACAAAAACAAAAACAACACCAACAACACCACTAATAATAATAATAATAATAATAATAATAATAATAATAATCTTATTATTATTAGTGGTGTTGTTGGTGTT